CAGACGTTGCCATATTTCCTTCAATAAAAACTTAATTTACTCGGAAAATCGTTAATATTTTCATTCCATTTCTTCAGACAATTCAGCTCGCAATTTTATCTAAAACTTTTAAAAATTTGAAGGAAAACTAATCATAAGGTTCTCTAAAAATACACGTTTTATCCGGGGCAATTTGGCATCTCTCAAATGTTCATACGACGTTCTTCCTTAGCACGGCAGCATAGAGGGGTATCTATACTATAAGCTCCGAGACCTCCTAATTTTGCGAAACTGGTGACGCTTAGTTCCAGCGTTCTACCGGGCCGATTTTCATGATTTTTGCGGCAATCGACGGGCAATTGTCTCTAGATAAGCCAACTCTTTTCAGATTTTCAAAATACGGCCCAGGTTTTTTTATATTACGAGGTAAAGTTGCGAATTCTCCCATTTAAACAATGTAAATTTATACTTTTTGTCATAGTTCGTTTGAGCGTTCTATCGGGCCGATTTCCATGATTTTTGCGTAAATCGACAGGTAATAGGCCCTAGATGAGCCCGCTGCAATCAGATTTTGGAAAAAGGACCCAGGTTTTTTTAAAATCACGTTAAAAAAGTGAGTGAGTTTACAGAATGCTCCGAGACTGCTACCGCTATGCGCGGGAGGATGCGCAGTGGTCAAGGAGGTTGCGTAGTAGCTGGGTAGCCTGCGCATCAGCTCTACACTTATCTACACAAGATTCGCATCAATCACTTCAAGCCGAGCGGTGGCCGAGTCGTCAAAGACGTCGTCAGCGTCCATTCAGATCATGGTGTGGGTTCGATTCCCGTCTCCCAATATACTTAATTATTACCTGATTACCAATATTCGTTGTTTTACTGCAATATTTCATCATGCAGTCATTCCAAATCGTGCCCTTTAGACTTCAAAAAAATGTTTGTTTCTTTATTCATCAAAACCAAAAGTTATTTCATTCCAAAAGTAAAGTATACCTCATATCGTAATTTTTTAGGGGAAAAATAAATAAAACTAACACCGATAGGAGGGTAAAAATAAGGCCGCGAAGCGGCCCATTGATGGCGCGGAGCGCCTTCAGGGGGTTGGGCCGCGTAGCGGCCAGGGGGCGTAGCCCCCTAGTATATGTATATAGCTGACGGTGTGAGAAATGTGACACCTCTCTCTTCCTCCCCCATCCCCAAATGATATTTGACGTAGCGCATTCGATGGTGGAAATGCAGAAGTGCGCATCTCAGAATACACGATTTTCCAGGAGAGTACAAAAAACGGTCTACATTCCTCTTTTTAGTTCGTAGAAGGGTAATAATTTTTGAGGATAGCAAGAATAAGATGGTTTTTCAGACTCCATCAGCATTTTAAATTATTTTTCGAACTGTTAGAAAATAGGGCGAAGATGCCGAGATTCGCGTTTTCGGTTTTCGGCAATAGGAATTGACGCTTCATCCCGAGTTACGTATTTTGGCAATTAGTGTTTTACCCTTGTTGTTGGTGGATTTGGATCATCTAAAGCCTGAAAAAAGAGTTTTACGCTTAAAATTCCTATTCAGATAAGGTTTAGTTGGATATCATATAGCCAGCATGCACGCTATTTCCATTTAAATCTTCCGTCACATTCGTACGGCGCAATGATACAACTATTTGAACTCTCCGGAATG